ATATATATATATATATATATATATATATATATATATATATATATATATATATATATATATATATATGGAGTTATAGATACAACACCAGAGCAGCAGCAAGACAAAGAAAGAATCTCTGAGTAGAGTTCAAGCCGGCGGCTGAGTGAGCAGCACGCGACGAAGAGCACAGTACTGCGTGTATTTTTAGTGAGCATTCTTTCGTGTTGGTGGTGTGACCAGTGGACCACTGCACTGGAGAAGAGACGCACCATCTGAATCCCCAGCTGCAACACCGTTGGTAAACTGAAGACACGCTGCGAGGCGTTAAACAAATACTCCAGCGAGTGCCCCAGCCGCTCCATCACCATCGCGTGCCACTCCCCCTCAAGCCCATACCAGAAACAAACAGGAATACCCACTGCAGCAGCAGCAGCAGCAGCAGCAGCAGCAGCAGCAGCAGCAAACAAACTAAACTGCAGCACAGTGCAGCATGGTGTACGCGGTACACCCCGGTGTATGTACATACACTGCAACCACATGCATGCAGCCACACGCCACCAGCATGAAGCTGCATCGACGATATTCTATCAGAAACAGTACAAGCAGAAACAACAGCAAACACACAACAACCAGAAACAGCAGCAGCACCACAAACAGCACGACATGCAGTCTGCTGCAGTGAAATTCCGGCAAAACCACCACCACCACCACCACCACCAGCACCACCACCACCACCACCACCAGCAGCAGCAGCAGCAGCAGCAGCAGGAGAATATGCGTTGAGCTGGGCTTGTGCTCACCTCCCCCCTGCAGGTACTTGATGATCCGGGCCTCATAGAGCAGCTGTGGGTGCTTGGTGTTTGCGGGCTCTAACTTAATGGCGACCTCTCTGCCTCTTTGGTCTACCCCCTCGTACAGACACCCGAAAGAACCACTACCTATCTTTCTCCCCACACGATATACACCATTTATACATGCAGGCGGTGCTGCTGCCTGGCTCAATGCTACTCGCGATAGAGAAGGAACACCACCTGCTACTGCAGCTACTGCTCCTAATGCTGCTGCTGCTGCTGCTGCTGCTGCTGCTGCTCCAGGGGCAGGGGCAGGGGCAGGAGTACCAACTGCATTCCCACCCACTCCTGCTGCTGGTGCTGCTCCTGCTGCTGCTGCTGCTGCTGCTCCGGGTGCTGCTGCTCCTGCAACACCCCGGACGCCCCCTGCTGCTCCCCTTGGTGAGGGGGCAGCAGCAGGGGGAGCAGCCATATGCAAGAGGCGCAGTTACAGCTGCTGCAGCTGCTGCAGCTGCTGCAGCTGCTGCAGTGATTAAGGAGATGTTGAACAGGAGATGTTCATGCAATCTCCCTGAATTTATTTGTTTGTTTCAGTCGCATCAGGGTGTACAGCAGCGAGAAGAAATAACACAACACGGGTTTGTTTTGTCTATAT